TAAGAACTAATAATCGATAGTAAAACTATTATCGAGGACTCCTTGTTAATTAATTAGGTGTTGGAATCTGTGTTTTGAAAATTGAACCGGACTGGACGGTCAAACCTGTTCGACTGAGAATTGGAGGCCTTCTCGATCCGGTTTGGATTAATAATCGGTAGACTTAAAAACCGGTCAAATTCGGTCAAATCCGGATAAAACTGCAGTTTGACCGAGAACCGTCACTGGTTAAACCGAAAATTTGAAATTTTAAAAATAAATTATTTTTTAAAATATTTTTATATCGGTTTTTATCGATTTTAAAACTCGATTTAAACCGGTTGAACCGGTTAACCAGTGAACCACTTAAGTTGTCGGTTCACCTTTCTGTCCGGATTTCAAAACATAGGTTAGAATGAGAAAGGAGTTGTTTTAGTCTTATAATCTAAAAAACTAGCTAGTAGAGATTATTCTCAAACTATTAAAACTGTTCACTTTTAGTCCCAAAGTTTGAATATGTACTTGGTTTTAGTCCCAAATTAAGGCTAAAACATATTTTGTCGTGACACTATTTTTTTTTCTATTGACACTTTGAAATTAAAACCAAGCAATTATTCGAACTCCGAATCTAAAACTGAATAATTCAGTAGTTTGGAATTGTATGTTGCATCTACTCAAATATTGGGGCTAAACCATAGATTTTCCTTTTTAAGTAAACGAGACTAGCTTCAACTTTCAATTTTATTTTATTTTTTTGTTGGAATTAGACTAAACCAATCTAAGTAAATGAGACTAGTTTCAACCTTCAACTGTACAATATAAAAGTCCTACTCTAGGTAACTTAACTAATCTAATTCCAAAATAGGTAATTCTGCCGTTAAAACTAACTGGAAAAAAATCATGTCGCTTGCACTTAGGGAGTCAAAGGGGAAAATGTGTTCAGAAGAAAAAAGCAGAAAGTTGAATGCTTCAATCACTTCATGTACTAGGATAATCAAATAATCAATTAATCTCTATCATCTTCCCAGAATACATTTAATTTGTTCTTTTTCTTAATTGAAAGCATAACCAAACCATGAAACCATTACGAGCTTGACTAAAGACTCGATTAAACCTCCAGAATTCCGAAATTATTTTAGATATGTTGAATTAAATGCCATCAAATTGGAGGAATACACCTACGAAGTCAGCAACGTCAAAATCATCGTCAAGGCGGAGGAAATCTGTGGGCGTCCCGATATTGCGCATAAAAGTTGGACGGTTCGCTGAGATGGGGACCATTTTAACCCATTATATATACTACGTAATATTTCATCCCGTCTTTAATATAAATTTTTTTGATTTGTCATAAATTTCACTGAGTATGTATTTTTAATCAAAAAAAATCTTACAAATATATTTTCACATTCGTTGATTGTTTGAAAATATTTTTTAAAATTTTTTTATCAATTAAAAATACGTACTAAGAAAAACTTAATATAAATCAAAATGACTTATATTAAGAACCGAAGGGAGTAATTTGATGGGAAATGAAGTTACATATTCATACTAAATCTCGTCAAAGTTGTGGACATCTCATAAGTCATAAGCCTGCCCAAAAGTCACTGTAAGGCACGAGTTTTTTGCTTTGATAAGCTTAAAGGCAAAAATTTAAGGGGAATTACTTCGTTTGTAACTTTTTTTTCCAATTGAGTTTTTCAAATTAAGTAATTGAATTATAAGACAATTTCATTTGTCCTAACGTTTCACCTAATATGTTTATGCATTTGAAAAAAAAAAATTAGTAATTACGAAAACATAATGAATATGAAAATGTAATTTTAAGGTTTTTTTCTTAATCGAAAAAAATCTACTAGTTGAAACTTATGATAAATTAAATGTTTTATAATAATGAAGGGAATCAGTACTATTCAATCTTTCTCAAAGGACAGAGGAGTTGATATTGCTTCGGTCTTTGGAGATTTTGTTCCTATAAAATGCTTGATTCATTAGGGTTTAGCGTTTGGGGTTTATTAAGTACTTACAGAATAAGCAATAAATTATCTTTTATTACTTATATTTTGTACTGCAATTTCAACACCACTTAATTCATTAAAAGATTATTTTTTGTTGTAAAATGTGCATAATTGAAAAGGTCATGAAGTGGTATTATCGCACAAGCCCTAAATACCCTAAATCATGAACCTAGAACCCTAAACCCTAAATTAGTAAAGTTGTATCCATTACAATGTGTCAATTTATAAATTTACTTGTATCCCAAAAAAAATGACCACAACGAAAAGGACAAAACAAATTTTTGATAATTTGAAAGGACAAGAAAAGACCCCAAAAAAAAAAAAAGAACTCAAAATTGTTGTGATCTCCCAATTATTACAAAATTTTTTAAAATTTTATTTCAATTAGAAAAATATAATAAATAAAATTTAGGACAAATCAAAATAACTTATAATAAGGACCGAAAAAATAACGTTTTAATCCAGAGTTGTCTATTATTGATTATTTCAAATTCATACTATGTTGCCAACGGGCAAAACACAAATTTGATACTCGATTTCAAATCATTAAGACTAAAGTCAATAAACCCTCAAAGTTTTTATATCTAATTTTCAAAAATTTGTATGCCTTAATTAACCATCTATTATGACATTTACTCCATAATTCCTTAATAACTCCGGTCTCTTATGACATTTCATTAACAATGCGTTAATATGTCATGTAAAGTATATTTTGTGGTCCACTCGAATTCAAACTGTTAAAAATAAAATCAATAACCTCTCAAGGTTTCTATTAATTTTTAAATATCTAAATGCTTTATTTGACAAACCTCTCAAGGTTTCTAAATTTAAATATCTAAATGCCTTATTTGACCATCTATTAAGACATTTAGTCCACAATTCCTTAATAACTGACAGTTCATTATGACATTTCATTAACAATCGCTTAAAATATATGTCATTAAATGTGTATTTTAATATGGTGTATTTACTTTACTCATTTCGAATTTGACATTTCTTAGTTCTATCATGAAACCTTTTCTTCTTTGTTTTTTCAAGGAAGTTCTTAGTTTGTAAAATAAGTACCTCCAATTGAGTATATGTCTTGAGTAATACCATTTTGTACATATGAAATACAACTTTGCGGTTAATTATTTACTAACACCAGATTTTAGCATGTGTATTTGCATGGGTTTATTTTAATTCTTGAGATATCCTCAACCAATATAAGTTATTTAGCAGGAGATTATGAAATAAGAATTAACTATCGATAGTAAAACTGTCATCAAGACTCCTGGTTAATTAATTAGGTTCTCAAATCAAACACCCATAAGGGTCTTAGCCTATTAGATTTTAGTGTGGGGTTGGAATGAGAAAGGAGTTGTTTTAGTCTTATAATCTGAAAAACTAGTTAGAAGATTAGTCTCAAACTGTTTAGTTTTGATATTGCTAAACGCAGCTTGATTTTATTTCGCGTAACTTATAAAATACGAAAATACCTCTCATCATAGATACTTAAAATACTAATGTAAACTGAAAAATACTAACATAAAACTGAATATTAAATGTAATTAAATATAACATAAAACACTAAATCAAGTAATGCCAATTCCAAAAGAAACGAAAGTTATTTTAATTTCATCATATGCACTTGTTTCTTCATTATACATTAATTTCTTGCATTCGTGAACTTATTTTGCTTTCGAAAAAAATCAAAAGCAAAGCTAAAGGAGAAGATCGATAAACAAGTATGACTCATTACAAACAATTCACCCAAACAATTATTTGTTGGGACGCCGATGACTCATTTTTTCTTTTTTTTTTTGTGTTCTTAAGTTCTCCGCCATTGCAAATTACCAATAACCAATGAATGTTTTGACTATATGTTTGAAAGAATTTGTGAAAAATGATAAAAAGAAAGACAATCGTATAAAAGAGTGAAAGACGGGAAGGTTTAAGTTTCAGAGGTATTTTGTTATTTTATACAAGTTACGCAAAGTAAAATGAAGTTAAGTTTAGCAATTCACTTAGTTTTAGTCTCAAAGTTTGGATTTTTACTTGGTTTTAGTCCCAAATTAAAGCTAAAACATACTTTGAAACTAAAACCAGACACTCGCTGAAACTTTGAATCTAAAACCGAACAATTCAGTGGTTGGAATTTTAAGTTGATTTTTTTTAAAATATTGGGGCTAAAACGTAGATTTTCCTTTTTTTAAGTAAACGAGACTAGTTTCAACCTTCAATTTTTATTTTTATTTTTTCGGATTAAAACGAATTAAGATTTAGGTTGGACAGATACATGTAAGAGATAAAAATTATTAATATATTATATGCATTGTGTTGAATTGGTCCAATCTAAAAAAATTACTTGCTGATTATTTTTTGAGGCATAGCCTAACAATTTAACTAATACTTAGAGAGGAAACCGACTAAAAATTTACTTTGCCTCTTTCCCTATTCTCTCAAACCGCAGCACCCTTCTCTTATAATTTGTTTCTTTTTGTCATTTTCTCTCATGGATTGACGGTGGAATTAATTTGAGTTTTCTTTATATCTAGTTTTTGTATCGTCTAACAAGTGAGATTTGTTTCCAAATTATTGTTCCGTATGTAAATTATATCTATTGAGAGGGTTTTTTTTTTTTTTGTAGTGTTCGTGGTATATTCTTTTTGTTACTGTGATGTTTATAGTTTCTTTGGTTGCTTCATACTGAGCGATTCGAGAAGATTCAGTCATCGTAGATCTATTTGATAGATCTATGAGTTGGGCTTTCATCTGATAATTTGAGATATATTTTTGATCAGATTGATTATCTGTCATATGATATATTCATTATTGTATTTGGGCAGATCTAGATAGGTTTACTCACGAGAAACACAGCAATAGTAATAGATATGATTGTAAGTTGTATTCTTTTTTTTACTGTATCTTGTCATTATCAATCGTTGGTAGACAATTTTCAGTAAAATAATATAATATAATTTTTATTTTTTTTAAAAAAAATAGGAAACCGACTATGACTATTAATTGTGGAATACTTGCCACACCCTCTTTTGATTTATTTATTTTTAGTTTGGTACAAACAGCGTCAACAATCTAATATGATGAATTTATTCAGAACCAAATGTTTGAACTGTAATTTGGCGAGGCCTGATGAAGACTTCCAAGGGATTTGACTTTGCCATAATGACACCATTACCCGGCGTCATATCAACATTTTCCACACCATTAACCAGATTAAACTCAAAGGCCTGGATCATGGCTCCAAGTACAAACGTTAGTAAACGCTTCGTCGAGTTTGTCGCCGGGCAAGATCGCCTTCCTAACCCGAACGGGAGAAGGTTGTATCCTTGATTCCCGACACCAATATCCTCCTTTTGATCGAATCTCTCGGGCTTGAACTTGTCTGGTTCATCCCACAACTTTGGATCCCTGTGGATTGTCCATAAGCTGAACATTGCAAGAGTGCCTTTTGGTATATGATATCCTGCAATTTGAGTGTCCTCTCTTGATTTGTGTGGCAGGAGAAGTGGAAGTGGTGGGTACAACCTTAGTGTTTCTATGATGACGTTGTTTAGATAACTGAGTTTTGGTACATCCCTATCCTCTAATAATCGATCTCTTCCAACAACCTTCTCTATCTCTTCCACTGCTTTCTGCATTGCATTTGGATTGTTTAATAGAAGTGACATTGCCCACTCCAAGGTAGTTACGGTGGTTTCGCTCCCACCACCAATCAGAGACTTCTCGAACAAATACAAGATTGATCAGTATATTTTTTTTATCAGTATATTTGAAAGAAGAAAAAAAAAGAATGATACAACATTTTGAACCATCAACCTCAGGATAAAACTATTTCTGTTCCAAAAAAAAATTACCATTGACAGATTTGTACTGTTTTTAATACAAATTCCAAAACTCAAAGTGGACTTTTTTTTTTGGACGGATAGAGTAACAATTTATCCTTACTACCGCACCCAAATCCCCCCCTTTAACCCTTCCCCCTCCCCCTAAACATATTCATCACACACACACACACACACGACTACTAGATCTTTCTGTAATAAAACTTGTTGAAATGTACGTGATGCATGTAATACACATCTCTGTTTCTCATATAATAGTCCAATTTGTCAAACTTTGAATATTAGTTGCAACTATAAATGTAAGTGTTGATTAATTAATTGGAAAGAATATAACATAGATTTTTTTTTTCTTTAAAAAAAAAATGTATCGGGAAAGCTCCTAACTTCCTATCTGGCGAAATAAAGCCAAAAACAAAAAAGATAAGAAGAGGGACTAGAGACAAGAATCAAATTAAAACCAAATCTTACCAGGATGATAGCCTTGATAGTCTGATGAGTAAAGAATTCTGGTTCACTTTCTTGCAAAGCCAGCAGAGTATCTATGAACGCCTTCTTCTCCTTCAAGCTGCCACCTTGTGTTGCGGCAATATTGGTATTATTACAATTCTTCAGTAGCAAGTTTTCGAGCAATTTATCGATTCTCGTCATCAGATCAACCATCTTCTTTTTCAAACCATTGACATCCAGATATCTAAAAGCCGGAATAAAATCTTCCAAATTTTGATCACCATGATAGCGCAGAGCCTCTTTGACAACTTCAGCAAACTGCTTCCCTTTCTCATGAATATCATCAACAGAATTAGTACCACCAATCATTCTCATGGTGATATTGTACGTAAGATCTGCCAACTTTGGCCTCGGCGTCACCTTAAAGTTCACGAAAGCATTGGCAGAAGAAGAAGAAGAAGAAGAAGAAACAACAACGTGCTTGTTGTACTCTTCGAGCAACCCGGCTAAGAAATAACGCGTTTCTTCTTGCCGAATCGTCGCAAACATCTCGATCCGCTTGTTGCTGAAGATCTCGACGGCGGTAACCCGCCTCATGTTCCTCCAGTAGTCGCCGTAAGACGCGAGGGACATGGTGGTGGCGTTGTAGTTCACCAGCTTAGCCGCGACGGTGTGGTTCCGGTCCGCGAAAATAACGTCGTTCTTGGCTAGGCATTCTTCGATGGTGCTTGGGGATGAAAGCACCACCACTGGTTTCACTCCCAGCCTGAGAGAGAAGATCTCGCCGTATTTCTGGCTCATTTGATGAAGGGTTATGTGGGTTGGGTTTTTCATGAGATGAAGATGGCCGAGGATGGGAATACCCTTTGGCCCAGGTATTACCATCTTCTTCTTTCCACTATCAGAAGCGCGTCTTGTGATTAGTGCCATCAAAATGATGACAATTAATGGGAAAATGGAGAAGAAAAGTAACTCTTTCAAATCTTGATTCAGTAGCCCCATTTTTTCCCTGGACTTAATTGACCTAGTGATGGAGTATGTGTAATTGTATTCTAAATGGGAGTGGAGCTAATGTAGTACGTACATTATAAATGGGTATATACCCTATTAGATTCTAGTGTGGGGAGCTGTTTGAGTCTTATTCTAAGGTTGGCCTCAAACTCTTAAAACGGTTTAGTTTTAGTCCCAAAGTTTGATTATGTACTCGGTTTTAGTCCCAAATTAAGATTACAATATATTTTGTCGCGACTTTTATTTATCGACACTTTAAGACTAAAACCGAACGGTCCAGTTGTTTGGAACCTTTTGGTGAATTTCTCCAAACCTTGGCCTAATGTAGATTTTCCTTTCTTCTTCTTTTTTTTTAGTGTATACAAGACTAACTTCAACCTTCAACTTTTTAAAAATTAGAACAAATTTAGGTTTTAAAATGGACAAATACATGTAAGTGATAAAACATCTCAACCAATGTTTGCCGGATCGCGATCCTATGTAGGATCGAAACGGGATCATAGGATCGGATCGTAAACGGGATCGGTAAGATCGGGATAATAGGATCATAAAATTAATTATACATGTTATATAATTAGTTACTTTAATAATTAGGTTTCAATTATCTTTAAATAAAGTCTTTAGCATTTAAACGAAAAGAATTGTGTAAATTCAATTTTTCGTATGTGAATTTTTTCATAACTTTTTAATAAAAACTCTTCTCTTATAGTTATTCTTTTCATTTTACTAGAAAAATTTTCTAAAATACATTTTTCTTAGCAATTAAAGTTTCCTCAATGAATATTAGCCTCAATTAAATGTAAACCAAAAGAAATAAGAAAAAAACATCTCAGTAAGTTCAATTAATTTTTTATAATTAATGAATAGTAAATTCAAACCGATCCTACGATCCTGTACAATCTTAACCGATCCTGACCGATCCCACTCCGATCCCACTGCAAAATTTGAGTTTAATCGATTCAGGATCGATTTAGGTACCTGGAATCGTAGGATCAGACGATCCTACGATCTAGGATCGCGAGTTTGCAAACTATGATCTCAACACATTACTTGAATCATTGAATTGGTCTAATATGAACAAATTACTTCTTGATGAAATTTTTCAGTGACACTTACAACCACACTTTTTTCGATTTAGCGACACTTTCGGACTAAAACCACATACTTCTTTAAAGTTTGTGGCCAAAATTCAACACTTCAATAGTTTAGGTTTAATCTATTGAATTTCTCCAAAACGTGAGACTAACATGCATGTTTTTCCTTTTCTTAAATATATATATATAATAATATGGGATGTAGCGGTTTTCAGTGTGTTTAATTTGGTGTCTCCTGTTTAATTTCACGATAAATGTCAATTATTTATTTCTATTTGTCAGTGTCAATCACCAATTTATATGAAATAGCTCCGTTGAAAGGCATTAACTATAATCGAGATATATGTTTACAATAGTAATAAGCTTAAAGTTGATCCCCAAATAAAAATAAATTGTTGACTTTTAAATAATTTTTCATTAGCCATGACGCTCTCACAACAATGTGGAAGATTACCATTCTTTTTCTTCTTTTTCTTGGGGGAGGAATGCAGATTACCAATCAATAAAATTCTGTTTGAAAATTGAAATAGCACCTCCAAACTGAAAGAGAACATGGTGCTCTGTTTGAAACCCTTGAGAGTTAATTGGGAAGTCTATTTTGTACACTTGTCGGGAAATAGCTTTTGTGTGAATGCTAGCAAAAGCATGTAAATGGGTAGCAAATGGTAATATCTAAGCCGTCGTTGAAACTTGTTGTTTTAACCAAAAAAGAAAAGGATGAAGAGATCTCCTTTTCCAATTATTTTTAGGAAGCAAGGTATAAGTTGTCATAATGTTGTTTATTTGTTTAATATCCTGCTCTTCCAAATCCTTTACCTCTGTGTATGTGAATGTATTCCAATCCAACAGTTACAAGGTTACATCGAAGGACCACGGAAATTCAAGTGCGGTAGATAAGTGGTTCTAGAAGTGGTTTAAACTAGTGTTGTCAAACTCGACTTGGATCGGATGGTTAAATCAGTTAAATTGGAAATCAGTCTCTAAACCAAGCCGAACAAGCGATAAAATCACCAAAAAGAAATTATGTCAAAAGCCCGGTTAAATTGAGAATCAATTGGGTCGACCCGAACTTTAATTTTTGAGTTTTTGACAAATATTTACACATTTTACCATGGATTCAAAGTCCCAAGGTTTTCGTAGGCCAACTTTTTCGCTTTTATTCAAAAAGGCCCTATAACTTTCAGTATTTATTTTGTTCAAAGTATTAATTTGGTATTTTTGTCTCATATTTAATTTCAACTTCTAATTAATGCACTATTTTGAATTTTTCTTAAGATTATTCGCCGCACAAACTAATTAACTTTTATTATTTTAAGGAAAATTTATATAATAACTCTAGTATGTCAAAAAAAATTAATTTCACAGTACTTTTGGCTTGATGTTTATATTAATTCTTCTTCAAATTCACTAATGTTTTCCAAATAATAATTTATTTATCTTGATTATCTTATTAATACGCTAATTTATTTCACAAAAATAATAATTAATTTTATAATGTTAGTATGACATCATCCAAGTCGAGTCCTTGAATCGCCTCAAGTGGACCCCGAGACTCTCTTGACTCTGGCCAGGCCGAGTCAAGCTCTGCTCCGAGCCTGATAGCACTGGTTCAAAAAATAATTATAGTAACTAGAAACAAAATTGGGTGTGCAAATTTTATCTTTTATGCTTTCGACTCGATAATAAAGCATAAAGTGGACAAGTTTAAATTAAAATTGATATACTAAACACATCAAAAAATCTTTTCCTCCATTCATTCCAAATGCGCACTGAGGGGGAGAATTAAATCATACCTCCGTCAAAAAGTGTCCAGTCTTTAGTTTTTTCTTATTGGTTCTGTTATCAGTTTCACTGTGTGGTGAATTAGATAGTCTGTTAGTAGACCATCACTTTGAAAGTTCGCACTGCAACCGACAACTGTTTAGCAAACTCTTGAAGGCCATATAAGTTCACTTGCACTTCCACAATATCAATTGACAAAGAAAAGAGTAGTACATGATATATACTTATATTTTGGTTTTAAGTGTTTCATTTTTTTCATGTAGGACAAGGCTGCTTGAGACTTTTTTAATCATTTTAACACACCACTCTTAAGCTCAATGGACTTAGAAAGCTAATTTTATATATTTTTTTCATTTTTTTTTATTTTGCGCCTGTTATTTTTTTAAATAAATTGTCGCCTACAAGGTTAACTAAACTTTAAAACCAAACCCCGGATTTTTTTTTCCTGTTGGGATGGTCAAATTGTTCGGGATTGAAATGGCTAAAATATTAAAATATGTTTGCTGGCCCAAATATACTGTGGAGTTAGTTGACCTCGCCCCACATCTATTGTCGGGTCAACCGACCTCGCCCCAAAAGTTTCGCCAATCCATGGATAAATTTTGCTCTTATACAATCTAAAGATCTATTTAAGTTCACATATTATTCCACCTAAGAATCAATCGGCAAAGAGAAGACTAGCACATGAGACTTCTATATTGGTTTTCAAGTGTTTCAATCTTTCCATATGGGACAAGGGAGTTGATATAAAAGTTTGATATAAAAATCTTGAGAGGTTATTGACTTTTGTTTTATTGGTTTGAATTTCATTAATTACTAATGCAAGTTTTTTTTTCTCAAAAGAAAATGGTTTGAATTTCAAACCTTTAAAATTAAAATCAATGATCTCCCAAACTTTTTTTTATCTCACTTTTAAAATTTAAATCCCTTAGTTGATCGAATCTTAAGACATTTAGTCCCTAACGCCTTGATATTAAGAACGCCTCAATATTCTTGAAAAGTGTATTTTCTTGTGGTGCATTCAAATTCAAACAGTTAAACTAAAGTCAATAACTTTTTAAAGTTTCTACATCTAATTTTCAGAAATCTAAAAATTCCTTATCTGACAATCTATTAAGACATTTTCTCTAGATCCTGAATAACTTCGGTCTATTATTTAATCCCTAATGCCTTGAAAGCACCGGTCTATTATGACATTTCATTAACAATGCACTAATATGTATGTAATGAAAAGTATATTTTATTGTGGTGCACTCAAATTCAAACCATTCAAACTAAAGTCAGTAAGTTCTCAAGGTTTTCTATATACAATTTTTGCAAAAGTAAAATGCCTCATTTTGACCGCATAGTAAGACATTTAGTCACTACGACCTTGATAACTACAGTCTATTATGACATTCATTAACAATGCCTTAATACTTATGTCATGAAAAAATGTATTTCCTTGTGGTGTACTCAATTTCAAACGATTGAAACTAAAGTCAATAACCTCTTAAGGTTTTTATATCTAGTTTTTAAAATGTGTAAATACCTTATTTGACAATCTATTAAGACATTTAGTCCCTAATTCTTTAATAGCTCCGGTCTACTATGACATTTCATTGACAATTCCTTATATGTATGTCACTATAAGTGTATTTCTGTTGGGGTGCATTCTCAAACCGTTCAAACTAAAAACAATGTCGTCTCAAGGCTTCTATATCTAATTTTTTTTAAAAAAACATTTAAATGCCTTATTTGACCATCTATTAAGATATTTAGTCCCTACCCTTAATAACTCCGGTCTATTGCGACATTTCATTAACAATGCCTTAACACGTATGTCATGAAAAAGTGTATTTTCTTGTAGTGTGTGTTAAGAATTTTTATCTCTTATATGTATTTATCCAATTTGAAATCTAAATTTGTTTAATCGAAAAAAAAAATTGAAAGTTGAAGCTTGTCTTGTATGCTTAAAAAAGCAAAATCCTCATTTTTAGCCCCAAGATTTGGAGAAATTCAACATATAAGTTTCAAACTATTGAACTGTTCGGTTTTAGTTTCAAGTTTGAACAAGTGCTTAGGTTTAGTCTTAAAGCGTTGATAAATTTTTTTAAAAAAATTGTAGCAATGAAATATGTTTTAACCTTATGGGACTAAAACCATTATTCAAACTTTGGGAATAAAACTAAACAACTTTAATAGTTTGAGACCAATATACTCAATTTTTAGATTAAGCCTAAAATACCTCCTTTCTCATTCCAATCCCACACTAAAATTTAATAGGCTAATACTCTTTTGGGTTCCCACACTAAAATTTAATAGGCTAATACTCTTTTGGGTGTTTGAACTGGGAACCTAACTAATTAACCAGTAGTCTCCGATGATAGTTTTACTTGCAATTATTTTAATTCATGTTTCTTTAATGGATCGCTATAATAACATATATTTGTGAGGGTAACTCAAGAATTAAAATAACCCGTACAAACGCACGTGCAAATCTCACATTAATAAATAATTTTGCATGTACACAATGGTATTACTCATGACATACTGGATCGGAGGTACTTAATTTAAAAAATGAAAACTTTCGAATAAAAAAAAGAAGAAAAAGTTTCCCAACAGAACTAACACAAGTCAAATTAGAAATGCGTAAAGCAAAGAAAATAGTGCTACAGTGGCCGAACTAGAATTTTATGTTTGCAGGGCCGAATGTCTAAAATTTTATTTTGCAGGGGTAAAAATCAAAAAAAAATTTAATTTACTCTAAAAATTTAAAACACTCCTTAAAGAAAAATTCCGATGAGGGGGACGACTGCCGCTGCTGGTCCTCCTAGCTCCACCATTGGTGCTACTAGATTATATTATTTGTTTTCAATCTTGTACTTTCTCCGTCCCAAAATTATTATCCACTTTGGGTTTCAATTTTAGTTTAATTTATACTAAAAACGAAAAATCAAACTGGACAATAATTTTGGGGACGGAGGGAGTATCATCTTTTAAAGGCCTTTCTTGCAACTCTGCACATGAAGATGACATTGAAGTTCAAATAAGGGTTCCCATCATCAGTCCTGACATAAAAGACTTTGATAGTAACAAATTTCAAATTTAACAAGAAGTGGGCACTGCGAAATATATTTCAAACAATAAGTTCTACATCTCACCGCGGCATGTTACTAAGGCAACCAATCAAATCCATTAGGTCTGTTGACAAGGATTTGATTATATTCGGCTCTTGAGGTTTGCAAAAGAAAGTGTTAAGCCTTTGATTTGGTAAAAGCAAAGAAAAAGCTTTACATTACTGACTTTGTAAAGAATCCTCTCATTAAGCTTTTGATTTCAAGATGACTCAAACTTTGAAAATGAAATTTTAACATACTCTATACAAACATATTCTATTTTTTATATAAAAAAATCTAACAGGCCGCTAATAAGGACAAGAAATAGGTCGATTTAATGAATCGAACTATCGAAGGCCAAGTAATTTGGTCGTTCTGTTTTCATTTGAATCTGATGACGGTAAATCTTCGACACTGTTGATTGGCTATCATTACTGATGAAAAATTTACTTAAAAGTCAACAATTTATTTTTATTTTCCTGATCGTACTGCTTTAAGCTTACTAATCTGTAAACATTTTGTCTCAATTGTCCTTTGTTTAGCACCGCAAATAGCTTGCATTTTATATTAACTGAGCTAGGTTGTACATTACATGACGCGGTCTGTCTCGGTTGTTGTTAAAGTCTTTCAGCGGAGCTATTTCATGTTAAGTTTGGTGACTGACAATGACATATATAAATAAATAAATTGTATTTATTGTGAAAATCAACAAGTAGACACCAAGCACTCAAAACCTCCCAAGTCCTCCCTTATATTTTTTCACAAGGAAAAACCTACGTATTAGTCCCACGTTTTGGAGAAATTTAATAGATTAGATCTAAACTATTAAAGTATTGAATTTTAGTCACAAAGTTTAAAGAAGTATGTGATTTTAATCCTAAAGTTTCGCAAAATCGAAAAAAAAGTATTATTATAAATGTCACTAAAAAATTCATCAACCAGTAATTTTTTCATATTGGCCCAGTTCAACACATTCAAGTAATGAGTGGAGAATTTCATTTCTTACAAATATCTGTTCAGCTTAAAACCTAAATTTATTTTATTCCAAAAAAAAAGTTGAAGGTTGATGCTAGTCTTACATACTCAAAAAAAGGAAAATTTTACGTTTTAGCCTTAAGGTTTGGAGAAATTCATCACATAAGTTCCAAATTACTGAACTGTTGGTTTTTTTTTTCTTTCAAAGTTCGAACAAGTGGTTTAGACTTAAAATATCGATCATGACTTCTAGCGACATAATATATTTTAGTACGATTACATATTCAAACTTTTTTGTGACCAAAATCAAACAATTTTAATTGTTTGAGACCAATATTCTAGATTTTTCTGATTGAAATATTATCTCAACTAAAAAGTCTTATTTTATTTTTGTTTTGCGCCAGTGGATATGTCGCTAAAACGATGAAGACAATACAAGTGCATAATTTCTGCATGTCAAACATCACCTATTCAATATTTTTTTAGTTAGTGTAAAACTAAATGAACCGCCACGGATTTATCACAAAATGATGAAGAGAACCTTTTTTCGGAATAATAAAACATAAGCCTAGAAACTAAACTATTAAAAATTATGGATATGAAAAACTCACAATATCATGATCCAGTTACGATTCCAGAAGTATTGAGACTTCATCCAAAAGTTGTAAACCTCCTAAACAAGTAACAGCTAAAGAAACTAAAGAATCAGCATCAAAGTTCATTTCACGATAAATATGTTTCATTTGACTATGAAGACAAGTTTTACGTGTGCATATTTCAACACATCAAACCTCAACTATTCAATCTTTAGTCACCACAGAAAAGCTCCTTCGGGAGAGTCGGACCAATGAAAGGGACATGTTCATTAAATTGCGTATATTGAACCATTTCGTGATTCGTTCATTGAAATTGTTTAGCGCTTACTTGCCATTAATTTTATTAAAGCGCCCCGTCCATACTGTTTGCACGTTCTGGATCGGTCTATTTATCGAAATCAACCATCTTTGATTGAGCACGGATTTGTTCTATGAACTACACTCAATCGGTTGAAAGTGTTTGTATGGAAATAAGTATACGTGCAATTTTTTGCTCAAATAATATCCATCCCAATATTATTCTGCAGTTTGGATTTTTAATTCTAGTTTAAATTATATTAAAACGAAAAATGCAAATTGGACGGAGAGAGTTCTAAATCGTGAATACCATACACACAGACGTGCGTAACAAATACTTGTATATATTCTCCGATCATAGAAAACAAACCAACAATCATCACCAGTAAGTAGGCAACGATATAACAAATTACAAAACTTGAAAGTGAAGTGGAAATCCTTAATTATTAGGTAACAACAATAAGAAAGAAAGAGGGGAAAAGAAACAATTAAAGTGAACAATTTCCCTAATCATTTCGCGACGAAGCGACTAGACATAGATCTAGTTGTATGACCCGTTATTATTATTACAGAAACTAAACTCAATCATGCAACAATGCAGCGGTTACGCTTTAGCAACACGAACAGAAATTCCCACATCTCAAACTGAGCAGCACTGGTATTATTATCTGGAGCCTTATTCTTCACGAGGTTTTCGATCTTCTCGGGATACCTTCTAAAGGCTTCATCAACAACGTGAGGAAGACCAATATGTTGGTTCAAGAGACATTCCATTACAGCTCTCATGGTGTTGCTTGTGTGCTGAATACCTTGAGGGTTGTTTAAATGTGATGGCAAGTGTATCTCCTGCATGGCTTCGATGCTGAAATGCTTGCCATGATTTGTCACTATAATTTCCTCCATCTCACTGGCTGTTGGGATGAATGTAGGAAAGTTGAAGGAGTCCACAACATCTTCACTTATTATTCCCTGAAAGTCCAAAACCAATCAATTTATCAATCAAATCAAGTTATCCATTTATCTAAACCGGAGACATGCATACATGCGGAGGGCAAATTTAAGAAAATATTGATGCAGTGCATTTTCTTCCAGAAAATTAATCAACCTTCTTTTTGTTCTTCCCTAACTTAATATAGCACTTGAATGGTAAAAGTTATAGAAAGCTTAACACGTACCAATATCAGATTTGCCATAATTTCTTTTTTTTTTTTAGTTAATTAACATTTACAATCTGTATGCATAAAACTAAAAACAGAATAATTGAAGTGGAACAAGCTAAATGTTGGGATCACCGAAATTTATTAATCTAGATAATTATCAAATAACTGACATATAATTAAATTATTAATCTAATAAAGAGTTTCTTTAAGAAAAAAATCTTAAATTATTAATTTAAAGAGTTTCTTTAAGGAAAAAAATCTTGCTGAGTTATGTAATTTTTAATTACATTTACAATCCAAATCAATTAAGCATTGAAACTCTTTTCGACATTAAAATCCTTATATACGTAGCTTATATGATCTTTAGGGATTAAAAAAACAAGTATCCATAGGTCATATATTACTACATATTATAGTTATTATTATTTTGGTTTAGGTTGATTATTCATTTATAGTAGTGTCGGAAACTTTAGATATATAGAGGATTTTGAAACATTATTAACTAATTATTTTATCGATTTATTCACTTTTTGTAATAGTCACAAAGTTGGGACCGATCTAAATTATTAATTTTATAGATTATTAATTTAGCGAAATTCGTACGTACCTGGTTGACCAAGTCCGCAAGTGCATCACCCATACTATCGGCGACCAACACTACATTTGATTCACAAGGGGAAGTCCCTTGTGATCTACAAGGTATAAGAATTGCCAATAGCCCACCAGGGATTAGTTCTTCCGACCTTGCGCCGAAGAAATCTCTCATGTCGTCGACAAATCGAGCTTTGAAAGCCTCCACGACTTGAGGGGAACTCCTCGCGTACGTGACTCTCCCTTTGTTCCACTGCGGAGTGTCCCTTTTAGTGACACTCTCGGGGATTTTACTCAACCAGTTGAGAGCCACGTTCGAGATCATCAAGTTGATCGAGAACTTGGGTAGAAGACGGCCATGAAATGAGCCCGGAACACCAGCCGCCGTGTATTGTTTGTCGTGCGGAATTGATCTGAACAGCGTGTTGAAATCATTGGACACTTGATCGTTGAAAAAAACGTGGAATTCGGGGACGGCCTCGGAATTCTTCTCGTACTTGTGCTTCACCGCCTCTATTACGGAGGCCACGGATGAAAACGTGTTGGGACCAACCGAACATCCAAAGTCGGCGATGGCGAACACCGCGGCCCCTGCCGCCCGGTAATCTTTAGGCGGCAGTTCTAGTGATTCTGCAATACCGTCAACCAGCAGTTTTTTTGCCAGATCCGAGGCATTTCCCTACAAAAAGTTTGATCCATCACGGGCATACAAATTCTTCTCTCTTTCTTGCATTATAAGTAATCTGAATATTAATGATTAAATTGGAGAGCTCTGGAACTGAAATAAACTTCGATTAAATTAACCTGTAACTTGGAGTTCTTGAAGTAGCTATTTGGACCATCTCCACCTTTCACGATTTTTGAGTTCTCCATATTTCTGAATGTGAAAGTTCGTGCCCGAGGAAATACGTAGCGCAAAAAAAAAAAAAAAAAAGGGTTAAGGTAATGGCACCCACCGTCAGTGATAAATTATTACCACGGTTAGGCCTATTCTTTGCATAATGTACTTGGTGGCATTTAAAGACAACTTGGATCCAAGCTCACGTCAGAAAACAAATGAACAGTCTATATCAAGTTAATTTGTCAACTTTTCGTATTAAAACAGTACCTATTTGGGACCATAATTTTGATGCGTCAATGATGTTGAACAATACCTATCAATGATGCGTCAATCATAAATTAACTTGAGAAGAATTTGGACCATCATTGTTGAACAAAATATGAAATAAAAAATAGTCAGCGGTGGCGGCTGTCTTGTTGTTTTCTGCCGAAGAATGGAAGAAGAAGAAGAAGAAGAACTTTAATTTATAAGTTTTAACAATCTCTAGGAAAACCCCCCAACTTCCTTAGCTTATTGCAAAAAGCTGAAATGGGTTTAAAATTTTTTAACAATTAATTCAATAATTATGGAATTTTTCGAATTAATTCCAACAGTCTAATTAATTTAGACGAATTAATTCCTATATGTTTTACATTCTTGCAATTCTACCCTTTCTTACCTCTACTTATTAATGTTTTTTAGAAAAAAACGATTATGCAGAGTTTGCAATTCATAATGACTTCGGAGTTAGCAAGAGATATATTAATTTATTTCTAAACATGTAAATTAAACTGCTTGCCTTGTCAAAGATTACGCCAAAAACCAAATTAAAAAAAAAATCAAGTTTAGAGTGCGGAATTTTTGGTTTTTAAGAAGAAAATATAGATCGATTTGTGAATTTAAGTTGTAAGATTTCATCTATTCTATAGTGTCAAAGAAAAAAAAAGTTTTGAGAAAGGGATTAGAAATTATGAAAAATATATAGTTTAGTGAAAACTTCAAAGTTCAGTTTTTTGTTTCCTTAAAATAATTTGGTTCAAACTTAAAGTTTTTTATTTTTACTTTTGAGCATATAAATGCACGAGATCGATATCATTATGTACAATAAAAAAAAGGCAAGTTGTTTTCCTTTATGAAAGATTTTCGTGATATTTTTCTTCTTTATAGAGTTGAGCACGTGTACTGTTAACTAAAGTCTTGGATCTGCCGCACAATTCAATCTTTTCCTTAGAAAATAAAACTAAATATGAGAATCTTATCGTTCTAATACAGAAAATCACGACTTAAGACATAATAACCACTCATATATATATATATATATATATATATATATATATATATATATATGAAAAACACACATTTTAGTCCCAAAGTTTAATGTAATTCACTAAATCAGTCTCAAACTATTGAAGTGTTTTTGTCACCACATTTGAATCTGCATTGAGCTTTAGTCCTTAAGTGTCGCTACAATATATGATATTTCTAGTGACAGATATAACGGATCTTGTTTTCAATATCTAGCGACATTTTTATGACTAAAACCCAAAACTAGTTCAAACTTTGGGATCAAATCCAAACCCTTCAATAATTTGGGATTAATCTATTGAATATTCCTAATCTTGAGACTAAAACATATGTTCCTCATAAATTCTTGAATTTTATTCTCAACTTTTAAACATTTGCTTGGTGTTAGTCTCGAACTATTGCTAAAATAAAACAAACCTAGTGTCTTCAAAGAATATTTTTAGGGATTTTGTTTTTTTAACAACAATTGGAATTAAAATGAGACAAATGGTTTGATCGGTGTCAAGACTAATTCATTAATTTGAGACTCATCCATTTGAGTTTTTCCAACGTTGGGACTAAGAAATTAATTTTCCATCTAAGAATTCGTAACCGGTTGTCGTCTCTTCATCTCTTTTTCATATATGATTCTCCGGGCATCTTCTCCTTTCTTCTTTGTTAGGATGATTATGGTAACAATTTGTTAGTGGGCTTTACAGTTGGTCTCTGGAAACAGTTTTATTTTTTGCTTATTTTAATTAGCGTCTTGTGACTGTAAGTCTGTAACTGTAGTTAAATCAGGCTACACACTTTTCTGTGGGGATGTGAACATCTCCGGTCATCGAATTCCATCGTTTTTTTTTTTTTTTTGCCAAATTTTTTATCAAGAACGGATGTTTCTTCTCTTAATGGTAGTCAGCGCCCGGGCTGGACTGCTACTACCTCATTGCATGTGCAGTGTTTCCAAAAATGTTCCCTTTTTGTTAAAATCGGACCGGACAGGTCTAACTTGAGAACCCGGAGCTTTCATTTGGATTTTCATAAAAACCAGTGTAATAAATAAACCGGCCAAACTCGGACAATATAGACTCGGTTCGACCGGTGATTGGGACTGGTTGAAATGGTTTTTTTGTTTCAAAGTTTTTTGCTGAAAGTTATGAGGAACGATCGTGCCGGTCAAATTGGTTAACATAACCACTCAGTTAGATTATCGGTTAATTTCTGTTCCAGTCTTAAAAACATTGTCGAAAAAAAGTCTTAAAATAAAACAATAACAGCAATGATACATCTAATAACTAAATACAGTGAAAATATATAGTGATAAATAAAAGGACAAATACACCATCCACTTGCTAAATATGTCTATTTATTAATCAAGGATAAAAATGTAATTTTGGGGGAAAAATAAAACTTCAATGGAAAAGTAGCAAAAAAAACTAGGGGCCATGATTATTCCACATCAATCATTATATTCTGTCACTATTTTCACTCACTAAGAGTATCATTTTCCAAACAATAAAAAGTACTACTTCCGAACAATAAAAAGTATCATTTTCCAAAAAAATAGTTCACATTGAGTTTTTCAAATTTGTACTAAAAACTGTACAAAACTCAAAACTCAAAACTCAATGATGACTAATTTTTCTGGGACGGTGGAAGTACTAACTAGTTGTTAATCTTCCATATGAAACTATCGATAAAATGAACCGGATGTATCAATATACTCCCTTTCAAGAACTATTAGTCTTACAAGAAAAGGAAAAAGACATTAATATATGGTGAAAATAGATAGTGAAATGTGATGGTAATTAATATGACAACTATGAAAATCCATAACTGCTAATTAAAATAGCTAATTAGTGTACTAGGAAACGAGAATATATAGGTCGCAACTATTGTACCAAGCAGGATTGTGCAGACAAACATAAATAGGATGAAATAAAAATTGTAGAAAAAAGTGATAAATTCTATGAGAATTCTAGTAATAAAATAGGATAGTGATACTTGTTGCACTAAAACAAAGGATAGCATTCCATACTCCCTCTGTGCCAAAAACAATAGTATATAGGGAGTTTTGAAATTTGTGTTAAAATAAATACAAATATATGAAAACTCATCGTTGACTATTTTTTTTTTAGAACAGGGACAATATTTTTTTCCTAGGAGACGTATATTGGAGGGACTCAATTATTAAGTAAACTCAGCTCTCTCTCTCTCTCCATTAATGTTAGATGGTTTCTCATCCCTTATTTAGATCAAACGCACAAAGTGTCCGCTCAGCCAAATTGACTACTATATAAGTGTATAGCACACCCTTTGCCATTCACCAAAAAAAAAAAAAAAAGAAAGAAAAGAAAGAAAGAAAGAAAAGGGAAAGAACGAGAGAAATACATTTACTAAAGCAATCAAGCATCATGCATCATCTGGCTTTGACAATTAGCTGGATTCTCTTTACCCTTTTAGCTATCTTCTTAAGTTTGAATCTGTTCATAAAGCATAAAAAGAATAACAGATCCGATCAAGTGAAACAGCAGGTGCCACCAGGGCTATGGAAGCTTCCCATCATTGGAAATTTACACAATTTGATGGGTTCACTTCCTCACCATGCCCTCAAAAGTTTATCCCGAAAACACGGAGATCTGATCCACCTTCAACTCGGGGAAGTTTCAACCTTTGTCGTGTCATCGCCTCAGCTAGCGAAAGAGATCGTGAAGACACACGATGTCGCTTTCGCGAACCGGCCAGAATTCCTGTCCGCCAAGATCATACTGTACAACTGTTCCGACCTTGCTTTTGCTCCCTACGGCGATTATTGGAGACAGATGCGGAAAATATGTATTCTGGAACTCCTCAGTGGCAAGAATGTCCGGTCTTTTGGACCGATTCGGCAACACGAGGTTTCGCAACTCGTTTCATCAGTCCGGGAGGCAGCAAATGCTGGATCCAAGAGAGCTATTAATTTGACCCAATTACTTTCCTCCTACTCAAGCTCGGTGGTTTGTAGAGCTGCGTTCGGTAGATCGTTCGGCCGGCATCGGGACACGCTGTTGATGTTGGTGAAGGAAGCTTTGGTGCTGTCTAGTGGGTTTGACGTTTGTGATGTTTTTCCGTCCTGGAAAATCCTTCATTACTTGAGCTCCAAGCCAAAGATGTTGCAGTTGCGCAACAAGATTGATGGGATTTTGGATACCATAATTCAAGAGCATGTCGAGCATCGAGCAAGAACCCTAACTGGGTTTGGAGAGTTCGGCCAAGAAGATCTGATTGATGTTCTGCTGAGAATCAAAGACAATGGTGACCTTCAATTCCCAATTACCAACACACATATCAAGGCTATCATCATCGTAAGTGTTATAAATTTTTTATTCCCTTTTATGTTAATTTTATATTTCCCGTCCCGAAATTATTATCTAGTTTGAGTTTTTATTTTTAATTCAAATTGTATTAGAAGTAAAATCTCAAATTGGACAATAATTTTGGGACGGAGAGAATATATAATTTATAATACTAATTCATACATTCATTCATTATAACCTTTGGATATTCAACCCATTCATCAAGATTTGAACTTTCCTGATTGATTTATTTTGTTATAAGCACTAATTTACTCCACAATCTTAGTATTTTTTACTCACCCTTTCTTAGTCAAAATTAAATTATCTGTTTGATGTAGTCAAAATTAAATTTCGAGTCCAACTAGATTAAAGACAAAGGAGTTATAATTAATCAAAATAACATGATTAGAGATAAACCTCCAACCATTTAAATCTGTAGGTTAATTTTGAGTTCTGCTGTTGAAAAAGAAAGAAAAAAAAATGTTGTCATCTCGTAATTAGATGAGTATAAGCTACCAATTTGGGAATATGGATTGTTTAATGTTTGCAGGATATGTTCATTGCGGGAACTGAATCTTCATCCATCACGGTAGAATGGGCAATGACGGAAATGTTTAGAAAGCCACATGTCCTGGTGAAAGCACAAAGTGAAGTAAGAAAAGCATTGGCAACGATGGGGAAAACAACAATGGAAGAAGCTGACACTCACAAACTTAGTTACTTGAAGCTGGTTATCAAAGAAACTCTAAGACTTCATCCTTCGCCGTCTCTGATTCTTAGGGAGAACATGGAGGAGTGCGAAATCGGCGGGCATACCATCCCTCCCAAATCTAGAGTTATAATTAACGTCTGGGGAATTGCAAGAGACCCTAGGTATTGGGACGACCCTGAAAGTTTCATACCAGAAAGGTTCGAGGATAGTTCTGTTGATTTTGCTGGAAATCATTACGAATTCCTACCATTTGGTTCCGGAAGGAGGAGCTGTCCTGGCACTTCATTTGGTTTAGCTAACATTGAAGTTCCGCTAGCTAATTTGTTGTGCTATTTTGATTGGAAACTCCCGGCTGATGATGCTAATGGTACTCGTTGTTTAGATATGTCGGAGACCCATGGATTAACTACGCCGAAGAAACATAACCTTTTATTGGTCCCCTCCATGTATGAATCCCTTGGCACAGCTTAACCCGAACCTAAATCATCTATGTTTGTTGTGTTCCCCTTATGCTCAATCAATAAAAAGATGTTCACATCCAAAATTATAAAACATTTTAATGGTTTTGTTCAAATTGATGCATCAATACAAATTTTAATTAAACTAGTTTCATTCCGGTCACGCAACATGTGTTAATTTTTATTTTTATTTTTTCACTTCATTGAGAAGTTCTATTATAGTCAAATTTTCTTTTTCTGTAATATCCAAAATTTTGTTGGAATTTGATCATTCTAAATTATTTATATGAAGAATTTTAAAAGTTTGATGTGGTAGATAGAAAAAGTTTGATGCGGAGAGATGTATTAAAAAAAAAGCTTAATAATAGAAAATTCCACAAATGATAAAATGAGGTTAGATTAATAAAGAAGGGGTAGACAGAAAAAGTAAAGTCCCAATAAAGAAGTGTCTTAAAAGTTAATTACGGAGCTGTCGTGATTTTATGAAATCTTTGTTAGACAGACTTCTTTTTTTTTTTTTCTTTTGGTAAGTTTTAAGCACTTTTTTATGTATATTATTTTAGAAAAATTCTAGGATCCTGTTAGTCATTTTGAGGCTGTATCCAGTATACTCGGGGACACCGTGCCCCCCTTCTATTTTTTGCACGAGTAGTCCTTATTGTACTTTTTTCTCAATCTTTCTATATTTTACACGTTTAGTCCCTGTGAGTTTTTTTCTCTCTCTTCCAAAAAAAACATCCCTAATCTTTAAACGAGCAAATCTCCCAATCCGTGAAGAATTTGTGAACAAATTATATATGAAATTTATAGTACTCATCGAGATCTATCCAACAAAATCCATAGTGAATATTTTTTCGGGCTTAAAAATCACTTAATTCTGATGGACAGAATAGGGGTGGATATCCAGTTTTACAAGATGGATAACCAACTTGTTCTAAATTGGTTATCCATCGTGTTCATGCTGATTATCCAATCGGTTTGAATTGGTTATCCATTTTGTTTCTACTGCTTATCCATTTGGTTATCCAACTTCTTAATTCAAAATAAGTTGGTTATCCATTTTGTTCATATTGATTATCCAATACGCTAGTACTGGTTATCCAATGGATTTACATGCTTATCCAAGTTATTTGTACTGGTTATCCACGGTGTTCATGCTGATTATCCAACTTGTTTGTACTGGATATCCATCCATTTGGTTTGTATGCATATCCAACTCTAATCTTTCAACGAGCATATCTCCCAATCCGTGAAGAATTTGTGAACGAATTATATATGAAATTTATAGTACTCGTCGAGATCTATCCAACGAAATCCACAGTGAATATTTTTTCGGGCTTAAATATGACTTAATTCTGACGGGCAGAATAGAGGTTGTTATCCATCTTCTTTTTTTTTTTTGAAGAGTGAATGTCAAACATATGATTGGATAACAAGTACGAACCGAATGGATAATCACTCCAAACCGGTTGGATAATCAGCATGAACACAACGGATAATCATTTTTCAAAGAAAAACAAAAAACACATTTCTTCATTTCTGCCCGTAAAATTTAAATGCATTTAAAGTTCAGAAAAATATTCAACATTGATCTTATCGAATAGATCTCGTCGAGCACTATAAATTTCATATATAATTCGTGTTATAATTCTTTACGAATCAAAAGATACAAGGAACACAACGATATGCATGTAAAATAAGTTGGTTATCCATCTTCTTAAACTGGTTATCCACTGTGTTCATGCTGGTTATCCAACTTATTTGTACCGGATATCCATCCATTTGGTTTGTATGCATATCCAACTCTAATCTTTCAACGAGCATATCTCCCAATCCGTGAAGAATTTGTGAACGAATTATATATGAAATTTATAGTACTCGTCGAGATCTATCCAACGAAATCCACAGTGAACATTTTTTCGGGCTTAAATATGACTTAATTCTGACAGGCAGAATAGAGGTTGTTATCCATATTCTTTCTTTTTCTTTTTGAAGAGTGAATGTCAAACATATGATTGGATAACAAGTACGAACCGAATGGATAATCACTCCAAACCGGTTGGATAATCACATGAACACAACGGATAATCATTTTTCAAAGAAAAACAAAAAACACATTTCTTCATTTCTGCCCGTAAAATTTAAATGCATTTAAAGTTCAGAAAAAAATTCAACATTGATCTTATCGAATAGATCTCGTCGAGCACTCTAAATTTCATATATAATTCGTGTTATAATTCTTTATGAATCAAAAGATACGAGGAACACTACGATATGCATGTAAAATAAGTTGGTTATCCATCTTCTTAAACTGGTTATCCACTGTGTTCATGCTGGTTATCCAACTTATTTGTACTGGATATCCATCCATTGGTTTGTATGCATATCCAACTCTAATCTTTCAACGAGCATATCTCCCAATCCGTGAAGAATTTGTGAACAAATTATATATGAAATTTATAGTACTCGTCGAGATCTATCGAACGAAATCCACAGTGAACATTTTTTCGGACTTAAAAATGACTTAATTCTGACGGGCAGAATAGAATAGAGATGGATATCCATCTTTTTTTTTTTTTTTGAAGAGTGAATGTCAAACATATGATTGGATAACAAGTACGAACATAATGGATAATCAGTCCAAACCGGTTGGATAACCATTTTTCAAAGAAAAACAAAAAACGCATTTCTTCATTTCTGCCCGTAAAATTTAAATGAATTTAAAGTTCAAAAAAAATATTCAACATGGATCTTATCGAATAGATCTCGTCGAGTACTATAAATTTCATATATAATTCATGTTATAATTCTTTACGAATCATTAGATACAAGGAAAGGAATAATATGAATGTAAAATAAGTTGGTTATCCATCTTGATTATTTATGTTAATACTGTTTATCCAACTAATTAGTATTATTTATCCAACCTGGTTTTTCTTTTTATTATTTTTTAAAAAAATAATAAACTAAGTTGGTTATCCAACTCATTTGTATTGGTTATCCAATCATTGGTTTGTACTGGATTATCCAATGCGCTAATGCTGGTTATCCAATGGATTTACATGGTTATCCAAATTGTTTGAACTGGTTATCCACTGTGTTCATACTGGTTATCCAACTCGTGCATACTGGTTATCCAACTTATTCTGCCCATCAAAATTTAGTCATTTTTAAACTAAAAAAAATATTTGAAATGGATCTTATTGAATAGATCTCGACGAGTACTATAATTTTCATGCATAACACGTTCTCTGATTCTTTACGGATGATGAGATATGGTCACTGAAAGATTGGAGATATTTTTTAAAGGAGTGAGAAAAAAAGTCACAGGGACTAAACTGGTAAAATATAAAAAGATTGAGAAAAAAGTACAATAAGAACTAAAAATGCAAAAAATAGGAGGGGGGCACGGTGCCCCCGGGTATACTGGATAATTTGCCGTCATTTTGAGGGTTTGGTCCCGTTATAATTTAACCAATAATAAAGTGACACAACATGTAAACTCACCAAAATTTAAACATGAGTAATTTTGGAAAGATTTAACATTTAAAATAACAAAATCACCATCAATTAATAATTAAGTTTCCTTATTTTATTTTTTATATTGCACAAATATTCAAATTTTTGAAATAAATTATCGATGGCAATAAATCACATTTATTTATTTTTATAATTTCTGTTTAGGATTTAATTTAATGATTTAAAGTTAGAGGAGTAATTTAAATTATAAACACATCATTTCCTATGAATTTTTCTTATAATTTTTTTATGTATGTATCATCACCCATTTTCGAATAGATATTTTAACACATTAATGGTAGATAAGATATATTTAACAGGCAACGGCCCCAATAAAATTATTTAACTTAAATATTGAAAATATGAGATGAAAAAATAGTTACCTTGTAAACAGCCCCAAATCCACCAGCTCCAATCAAGTTATCTACTGAAAAGTTGTTTGTTGCTGCTCTAATGAGTCCAAATTCGTATTGTACAGGTTTTTTCCTATCCAAATCTTCACAAAACCAAAAAAAAAAAAGAAAAAAGAGTAACAATTAATAAATATAAACATTCTAAAGTTAATTTGAAATGCTACATACAGAAATATCACATAATTGCATTAAAAAAAATAAAATCCCCACTCTGCAGCGGATAAGAGAAAAAAGTTTCCCTCTATGCAATTTATATTCTTTATTAACATGTAATTTAAGTTGACGACTACAACTATCAAAGTCCTAGAAAAATAGTTAATACTGTAAATTAAAAATTATATATTTTAGTGCAATCCAGATATAGTATGGATTAATTTTTTGACACCGAAGGTGTATGTTATACTGATTGTATTAATTAATTAAATTACATGCAAATCTTTTATGAACTCGTAATAAAAAAGTCTCATTGTTAAAACTAAAAAAAAAATTTAGAACAAGATTACTATGAGAAATTAACAAGGTTAACTAACAACCTCTCCTATTTGGCTAGGATATGCATGAAAATGTCAACTATACTTACCCTTAAGTGCATCAGTTGTCCTCTTCCGAAGACGTTTCCTTCCAAAGATGAAAAACCACAAAAGTACCGGAAAAGTACCGGTACTAAAACAATTACCAAACCCACGGTAAGACAAATGACGACAATGATCATCTTGCTATCACTTTTTCCTGAAAAAATAAAAGAAAGTAAATAAATTAAAGAATTCATAGTTAAACTTTACGGCCTCTCTAAACCAAACTTTAGGTAATTTTCTAAAATCATCATTCTGATTGAAAAAACCTAATAAATAACATATGTATATACTTTATTTTTAGCCCCACATATATTCTTTCTCACAAAATGAACACCCTCCATCAATTGTATTAGACTCATAGGCAACTGTTGTACTGAATATTTACTCATTTTCGTAAAATTTCAAATGTGATTAACAATATAAGATGAAATCAAGGTTCAAAGGTAAGATAGTTAAATGTGGCAATTACCAATCAAAAGATTTCAGTTAACTAGAGCTCAGTTTGATAATCACTTAATGTAGTGATTTAATTTATTTATTTAAATAAATCGACTGTTTCATCATCATCACAGCCCAACTGAGGCAAAGATCGCAGTCCCCTGAATCCAAGTCCGACGTGCACTGCATATACGCATAAATCGACTCGATGCCGC